ATGGATGGATAAATTGATGGATGGAACAAAATGACTCTCCATAGAGGTGGACCAGAGCCCAGCAACACACTCCACCATGCAGGGTCAAAGGTGAATAAAGAATAAAAGTATAATAAAGGTATTTATTTATCAGAACAGTTTTCTGTTATGTTTTTCATTCGTATATATATACTCCTATATCAGAAAACTAACAGCCAGTGTGATCAGCCATAATTAGCGGTCTGGTTTGGTGGTAAAAATCCTGAACAGTGCCTCCCTAGTATTAGGGAAGCATTCCTTAAACTTGGAGAAAGAAACTGAAATTTAAATGTTACCTTTAAAGGTAACATTAAGGAGAGGTGGCGAAACGTCCTCAAATCTTGGAAACCAAGTCCAGTGGATATTTTTTTAATTTTTACGGAATGACTATGACCTGGATGATTGAGAACCTTCATCAGCATGTTACCTTTAAATATTTATCAGGACCTTACAATGGATAACTATGTGGTCGTTTTTCTGTTCTATATTTTCAAGGTCAAAAACTCTCTAAACCTAGCAGGTTTAAAATTAATCTATAGTATCTTAGCCTACCATATGATGACCATATGATATGAGTTTACACCTACAATGCCAGAAAATTAATATTTAACATAATATGAAAATACCTAATGATATTTATAATTCATATTTCTTAATTATTCATTTTCATTTATTCATTGTTTTAAAAACTTGAAAATCTGAGACCCCTGAAAAAATCTGATTAGTGCATTTCTGTAGCAATTACATTCAGACAGACAGAGAGAATCAACACACCTGGGTTCTGAGTTGTAACTCCGCCTATAAAACACAAATAACCATTTACATAATGCTTATATATCTAATGGTAATTCATTATAGATCGACAGATTCAACCCAGCCAAATTCTAAGTTGCCATTCCAACTATAAAACACATAATTTACATTATGCTGAACTAACCAGTGTTCATTACACGGTTTTAAAGATCGAGAGACAAACAAAGTTTTAACCTACCTGAGTTCTGAGTTGTTGTTCCACCTATAAGACACAAAAAACAATTACCAAATGCTAAAACATCTAAAGTTGATTCATTACACCTTTTTAAGATGGACTGACAGATTCAACCTACCCAAGTTCTGAGTTGCCATTCCACCTATAAAACACATAATGATTTACATTTGCTGAAATAAATGCATTTTTTCATTACATTTTATGATTGACAGACAGACAGCAGGAAGTATTAACCCACCTGAGTTCTGAGTTGTTGTTCCACCTATAAGACACAAATAATAATTTACCAAATGCTAAAACATCTAAAGTTGATTCATTACACCTTTTTAAGATGGACTGACAGATTCAACCTACCCAAGTTCTGAGTTGCCATTCCACCTATAAAACACATAATGATTTACATTTGCTGAAATAAATGCATTTTTTCATTACATTTTATGATTGACAGACAGACAGCAGGAAGTATTAACCCACCTGAGTTCTGAGTTGTTGTTCCACCTATAAGACACAAAAAACAATTACCAAATGCTAAAACATCTAAAGTTGATTCATTACACCTTTTTAAGATGGACAGACAGATTCAACCCACCCAAGTTCTGAGTTGCCATTCCACCTATAAAACACATAATGATTTACATTTGCTGAAATATATGCATTTTTTTCATTATATCTTATGATTAACAGACAGACAGCAGGAAGTATTAACCCACCTGAGTTCTGAGTTGTTGTTCCACCTATAAGACACAAATAATAATTTACCAAATGCTAAAACATCTAAAGTTGATTCATTACACCTTTTTAAGATGGACTGACAGATTCAACCTACCCAAGTTCTGAGTTGCCATTCCACCTATAAAACACATAATTCACATGATGCTAAACTATCCAGTGTTCATTTCACCTTTTTAAAGATTGAGACACAAAGTTTTAACCCACCTGAGTTCTGAGTTGTCATTCCACCTATAAAACACATAAAAATTCACATAATGCAAAAACATCTCATGTTAATTCATTACACTTTTTTAAGATCAACAGACAAATTCACCCACCCAAGTTCTGGGTTGCCATTCCACCTGTAAGACACAAATAACAATTTACAAAATGCCAAAATATCTACTATCTAATTTTATTTTTCATTAAATAATACAGATGCAGATAAATAGAAATAAAAAGTTCTCAGATAAGATCGGAGGTGTATCTATAACTACGCAACCGATTTCATAAAATAAGATTATGCAGTCTATGTTAAATTAATTCATTAACTTTATTTTAATCAAAAACAAAATAAAATACCACAATATCACACCAAGATCCCCAATAAACCTGCTTTTCAGTTGACTGCAGGCCTACAAACGTCACTTTTAAGACGGCAGAGGTCCCAAGCGCCACCTGGTGGTTATCCGGGTACATTGCAGTTCTTTTTGAAATAAAAAAACTGGCCTCAGGAAATACATCGTGATTCACGCGGGAATCACACAGGAATCACGCAGGAAACCGTCCATTTCCAACCAGTGCCCACTGTACTGTTCATAATACCATTTTAAAGATCGAGAGAAAAAGTTTTAACCCACCTGAGTTCTGAGTTGTTGTTCCACTTATGTGACACATATAACCATTTACATGATTCTAAAATATGTCATTTTAATACATTTCACCTTTTAAGATTGAAAAACAGACAGAAAGTTTCAACCCACCTGAGTTCTGAGTTGTCATTCCACCTATAAAACACATAATAATTTACAAAATGCTGAAATGTCTTTACACCATTCTAAGATCGACAGACAGATTCCACCCACTCAAATTCTGAGTTGCCATTCCACCCATAAAACACATAATTCACATGATGCTAAACTATCCAATGTTCATTATACCCTTTTAAAGATCGAGAGACAGACAAAATTATAACTCACCTGAGTTCTGAGTTGTTGTTCCACCTATAAGACACAAATAACAGTTTATATAATTCTAAAATATGTCATTTTAATTTATTACACCTTTTAAGATTTACAGATAGACAGCAGAGAGTTTCATACCACCTGAATTCTGAGTTGTTGTTCCATCTAAAAACACAAACAATGTACATAATGCTAAAATATCTAATCTTACTTCATTACACCTTTTTAAGATCTATAGACAAAGTTTTGACCCACCGGAGTTCTGAGTTGTCGTTCCACCTATAAAACAAAATCATTTACATGATGTTAAAATATCTCTTAATTCATTACACTTTTTTAATATCAACAGACAGACAGTTTAAACCCACTTGTGCTCTGAGTTGTTGCTCCACCTATAAAACACAATGATTTACATGATGTTAAAATATCTCTTAATTCATTGCACTTTTTCAATAGCAATAGAAAGATAGTTTAAACACACTTGTGTTCTGAGTTGACATTCTACCTATAAAGTCTAGATCACACTGATTGCATTCGACATTTTTTTCCATGTCACACTTACTGCTATGAGTATAGAGAATTATGCATAAAGGGAACAAATCCTGATTTGCGCAATTTTTTATTTATTTATTTATTTATTTATTTTTTTGCTTTTTTCAGTTTGCCCCAAAAATTAAAACAATATTCCCTGCCTAACTGTGTCAGATCAGTAAAAGAAATGAAAAAGGATCAAAACAAAACAAACAAGCCAAAAACAGTTGGTTCGGCTAAAATGACCAACCGAAATCAGCTAAAAGATTTTGATATATTATAAAAAGGACTGCTCAAAAAAAATTTAAGGAACACTTTGAAAACACATCAGATCTCAATAGGGAAAAAAATCATGCTGTTTATTTATACTGATATGGACTGAGTAATGTGTTAGGAACAAAGGGATGCCAAATCATTTGATGGAAATGAAATTTATAAACCTACATAGGGCTGAATTCAAATACTCCCCAAAAATTAAAATGAAAAAATTATGGGACAGGCTAGTCCATTTTGCTGAAATTTCATTGCGGCAACTAAAAATGGTATTCAGTCATTTGTTTGGCCCCCACGTGTGTATGCATGCCTGACAACGTGGGAGCATGATACTAATGAGACGACGGCTGGCCTGGGATATATCCTCCCAGATCTCGACCTTTAGTCGTTCTGTTCAGTTTTGTTTATTTCAAGGTTTATGTCCTGGATCCTGGCGGCCAGTGGAAAGAGGGTTTTTGTGTCTGTATCGTCTCCTGATCGCCCACTGTTCCTCCCTTGCTGAGCACTCTGGGTTTTGGCTCTTTAAGTGGTTGGGATCAGTTTTTATTCCAGTAAGCCTGGCTCCAAGCTGGAGACCAGTTTAAAGCTTATGCATCAAGTTCTGGTTTCCATGTCCTGCCTCTGCTACCCTCTTCCACTGAGCCTGCCTGTCTGGTCATGCTTCTAGACTCTGTCAGACTCTAAATCTGCCTGGGTGCTTGTTATTGCCTGGAAGCCTGGATCCTGCCACCTGTCTGTTCCTGCCTGGTCTGGATCCTGTCTGATCTGTCTGTTCCTGCCTGCCCTGTATCCCTGACCAGGATCTGCTTCCTGCAAGTCATCCAAAGCTGCAGCACAGGGGATACTCTGAGTGACGCATCAGCCTTCAGTCCAGCAGCAACCTTCTAGGGTGATGGACTGGACTGTTGAACCAGGTAAGTGACTCACTGAGCTCATCATCTTCTGTCAGATGATTGTGGTCACTTACCTGTGTTTCTCCTAAAGAGTGTCTGAGATAGGGCGGTCCGAGCATCCACGAGCCACAGATCCTAGCAACTCCACTTTAGTTTTGTTTGTTTTATTTAATAAACGCTTTGAACTTTCCTACTGGCTGTCTCTCCTTGAACACTGGGTCCATCTGTCCTGTTTCATGACATGGGAGCCAAGTTCAATGCCCTAACCAATAGGCTGCCACTCCTCAAGTTATCTGAATGTTGTTTGTAGGAAACATAATTAGAAGAATTACATTTTTGAATATTTACAATTAGCTATTATGATGAATTTTTTTTAGAAGCAATTTTGTTGTCTGAAGTTAGGGGTATTTAAACAGCTGTTCTGCAGGTCAGAACCAGACCAGGGTAGTGGTGTGGACTTTCTTAAAAATCTGTTTCAATTTTTTTCTTAAAAAACAAACCAATTGAGATCCCTGAAAAGATCTGCCTACTAGGGGTATATCACAAAAAGACAGAGGCTCAACCTGAGTTCTGAGTTGTCGTTCCAGCTATAATACACACAAATGATATTTAACATAATTTTATTGATTATGCATCCATCCACCCATCCAACATCCACCCACGCTTACTGAGAGAAAGTTTATCTCAGACAGAAATAGAAAGATCCATAGATAGAAACTTTCAGCTTACTAGAAGTCTTAATTGTCACTTCACCTTAGGAAACACAGTTATCTTCAAACATTACAGTAGATTTAGATAACAAATGGTATTCCATTAGACTCATCTGAATTGTGCTGCAAGGGTTAGACCAGAACTTTACGTTTTCATGTGAACAAACTTCTTTAGGCATTCATAGAAAGGTTTTATGAGTGGTTACTTACTTAAAACTGACAGAAGCAGTAGAGGCAGAATAATTTTGCCTGCCATTCTTCAAAGTTTAATGTTAAACCTGCTAAGAAAAACAAAATCACCTTTAGGATACACTAATGATGTTGATCCAGAAAAGCACAAAGAACAAAGCATTTTCTTACACCCTGACTTATTTGAAATAAAACAATCCTGAAAGTTTTTTCACTTTTGCTCAAACAAAAAAAAAAGAAAGTTCTTTATTCATTTATAAAATGAACACTTTTTACCTTTTCTATGGACCCATCTGTAGTGTAAACATCTCGAATGAAAGAACAGTGCCGTAACAAGGCTTTATACAGTGAGATTTGGCACAAATCCCACATTCTACATTTACTGATAAGCAGCATTAAAATAACAACAGCACAGCTGCTTCCTCATATTTTAGCTTGGTAATGTTTGATTAGGAAGGACAGTTTCACTTTTTAGTACACCCTGCATTGTATTTTTGGTCATGGGTCCCCCTCAAGATGTGACATTTTGAAACCCAATAGGGCTAAAAGGGGTACTCAAGGCTATGGTACAGTAAAGTAATCAATCAACAACTTCCCTAAAATAAAAAAAAGCAACATAAATATCCTTGTTGCACCTGTAGGCTGGAGCCTGTAGCATTTTCTGGAGACACCAAAAGCTCTGTTAGATTGTCACCTATTTTTATTTCGAATACCAGTTTATGTTAGTGAAAACTGTGAAAAAATAAAACCTTCCCCTTGCATTTTGAACAGAGTGATTTTTTTAGGAAACAGTACAATAACAGGAAATGGATAGGTTTTTATGGATATTTTTTTAAGAAAATGGGGCTTTATGTGTTGATTTTGTATTTTTTTTAATGGAATATTTTTTTGCTTGATATGTGTAAAATAGTGACCAGATCTCTGGCAAAATTCAGCTAAAACTCTCTGAAAATTCTCTCACTGAGTTATAAACTGTTCCAGAGTCTTTTAGTTGCAGTCTTCTCTATAAACATTGTTAATTACATTTTGATTTAATTATTTTCACCTGTTTTGTTTTATGTCAAGAGCTTTATGTGTTCGTCATGACATGGGGCACTGCTTTGTATTTTTATGGATTCGCTGGTGTGGCTGTCATAGCTCTCTGAGCAAGCACCTCTGCTTTCTTTATATTTAAGAAAAAAAACATGTTAATTATCTATTTATCTATTTGTTTTTATTCAAGAATCTCACCAGTATATGCGGTAAAGTAGTTTAAACTTTTTGGACACAGAGGCTCAGGTGTACAATACAGCACAGATCTTTGTGTATTTTGTGTATGCAATCTATATTTTTTTTGTATATAATCAACAGGCACAAAAAAGACAAAGAAATCTTTGATTTTAATGAAAACGTTCAAGGTTGGTCTTATTTAAAACTTAAAATTTATTGTAAAACCGAACTGAAGATTCATCAAAAAGGAAGAACAATGCACAGATAAACATAAAGTTGTAAGATCATCGTGGTTTTAGAAGTTGAAAAATTATAATTTTTCTTTCAGCCTTCTTCCCCAAGCACCATGGATGAAACACACATAAAAATTTTCCGGGCGCTCAAGGACCAAAGAATGTTCTGTTTGTTTGATGTGGTTGAAAACATCTCCAAGTCCCAAAAGCTGAACAACAGGTCTAGCTTGTAAAGTTTTTTTTTGTTTTTTTTCCTGGTATTTGCTGAAATGTGAAAAAGTCTGCACTTCCATGAAACAATGTGTATAATATGCATAGCAAATATAAAGCCTCTTTTTTCATATTTCTTAAAAATATCAAGACACATCATGAAGCTCTGCCTAAAAGATTACAACATTTCAATTAATTCAGTAAGTACCATTCAGCTTTTATTTGGATTTGCAACATTTATGTTCAGATGTCCATTTCCTGTTAGTTTATTTTAATGGTAATTACAAGTAGATATTTTCTGGCTTACCTCATAGGCATTATTTAGTTCATTCAGATCCAATCTAATCTAAAAAAGACTAAATCTCTAACAGGTTTAAATGTTGTTGTTTTTACCCATTTTTGTTACTAACACTAAGACATTACACCTCTACAGTGTTTGTGTAGAGTAATTTAGTAAAACTAGTGATGCTTGCAGTACTACTAGGTTGAACGCCCAGAGAGTGTAGTCAGACTTTTTTAATCTGAGACATGCCATTATAATAGCCAGGAATCTTGCAATCATATGCTATTGCATGAAGATTGAGTCCACATAAGATCCAGACTAAAGACAAAAGGGTTGGGAAAACAAAAACCCAAACATCATAGCTGAAAAAAAGATGTTAAATTGGAAATAAAAGATCTACATAATGCTGCACATATATAAGAGCAAACTGGTGTAAAACATAATTTATCCCCAGATGTGCATTTATAAGGCAATGGTTTAATTTAATAGAAAATAAGATGAGCGGTTCAGTAAGGAGCAACAATAAGTTCAAATATGAACAAGCCAGGTAGACTGTAAAATCTAGAAAAGAATTAAAACCAAAGATAGCGTGGGTAATAATTAGGCCATGTGGAGAGTAAACAAAGCATGTTTGCAGAGAACTATGAGTAACTTGAAGAGCAGGTTTTTTTTAAGGTTGATTACAGGAAGGATTACTGATTAAAAAGCATGTGTTCCCATAGACACAAAAAAATAAAGTGTTATGCAAATATCACTAGTTGGTTGAAGGCGAAGCAGTATTTAGTCTATACATGTATGTGTTGCTGGGGCATGCTTAGAGTCAGTCTTTGGCATGCTTAAACTTTATACTTTATAAATGCTTCTCACTGTTGAAAATTTCCCTTTCAGAATATTTTGTTAGGTCATCCCAAGCCTAAAATCGAAGTCGATTAGCTTGTCCCTGTCCATTTTATTGCTATAATGTGTTTCTTTGTTCCTCCAGCTGTTTAAGAACCTGTGCACAACACAAAGGCTACCTGTGTTTTGAACACAAATAATTAATTGGTGGTAACAATTTAGTGTTTTGTGCCAACACTGTATCTCTTTTTCTCCATTTGAGTCTATATATCCATCTAATGTTTTTGAATTCTTGCCTATTGACATGGGGATAAAATATTTGTATTAATACTTTTAAGAGCTTTAGAGACGTATGGGTAGGACACAACAACACCTAATTCACCTGACCTTAATTTTCAGTACAGCATACATTTTTTAAGGTAGACTTAGACCTAGACAGATATATTTGGTCATTTTGTATACACAAGTGTAAACAAAAAGAAATGTCTTTTAGAACAACTATCTAGACAACTTTATTTTTTAAAGTGCAGCCATGATAAGGTACGCAGCAGTTGTTGTTGAGCTGCTACTACTGCCTCCAGCTCCTGAAGCACATGCTTCAGAAAGAGGACGATGATGATGATGCTGTGAAGGTGGTAGCCCCAGATCCAATCAAAATGTTGAAGCGAATTAACCCTTTTAAATAAAAATGGGACTTTGCAACTCTTAGTTCATCAGCCTTTCTTACTGCATGACTTAACCTGGTTAAGTCTTAGCTGTTCGCTACATATGAAACCCTTTTATTACGGGTCCAGATCTGTGGAAGTATTACTTTTCAGATAGTGTACACAAAGAAGGAAACAAGTTTAAGCATTAACATAATTTATTCCAGTCATGGTTAACAAAATCAGTGATACCGGCAGAAATTTGAGAGGAAGATCTCACCTTCTATTAGGCCCTTACATCTCGACTATTCAGGGTAGAACCCACTGAAAAGGCAGAGAGCTTTTGCCCACTTTCCTATTTTATCTACTGTAAAAGTCAGACAGGATGTGTCTCACCCAAAGCCCCCAGTAACTATCCAGCCCTTCTCACACATACTACAATATTATCATATAAGGTGATGCTGGAGCCACTCCAGCCAGCATATGTCATCATAAATGCCTGAACACAATGGTTGTATACAACTTCTTCATCTCTGATCCTTATTTTTTTTCCATGTCACACTGACTGCATAATGAGAGGCCCCGACTAGGCAGGGTGGGCAGATCTGCGCAAAAAGGAAATAGACTGAAAATAGTCAAGAGTTAAGTACAAATGAACTGCGGATACAAAACCAGCTGCAAACACATTAATGATGTTAACACAAAAACAAGAAAATGGAAAATTTTGCTGGTAGGGAACACAACGGCCAGTTATACAGAACTGCAAAGTGGTTCAGCAAAACGTAAATGCTCCAGACCACTAGAGAGAGATAGGGGCGGGCTCCTCTTTATGCTTTGCAAAAGGTCTGGTCCACAGATTTTGATGCATTGTAATGTCTAGGTTCTGGTTGCATGTGTCATTCATCATCTTGCCCTACTGGTCTCAAATGCTTCCTTTATGCAGGACAAGTTTACAGCTTTTCTTAACTTTGAATGTTTTTTGCTACTTGCAGCATTTTCTCTTTCAATGTATTTGTAGGTTTTGTGTTTGCAGCATGTTTGCACTTTGCTGCTCTTAATGTTCTGTGATTGCAGCATTTAAAATTCGCAACATTTTACTTTGCTCTTGTTTTGAGTGTTTGTATGACAGTTGATTTATTGTGCTTGCTAGTCTCCTTTTGTGTTTACAAGCCCAAATGTTGGTCTTTGCAAAGTTTTAGGTATTTGCTACACAAACCATCTATTTGCAACATGTTTGCAACCCTTGGACACTGTGCTGAACAATT